TATATATATATATATATATATATATATATATATATATAAGATTAGCTAAAGATTGCGGTTTATCAAATTATTATGTGTATTTATATACTTCCTTTCAAAGGTTTAGGGTCTGTTAGTTTTTTTTTCTTATGCTCATCAAGGCCACATTTATTTAATCAAAAACAGTAATACTGAGAAATATTACTACATTTTAAAATAACTGTTTTCAGTTTTAATATTTCTTGTGGAAACCGTTACACATTTCTTTCAGGATTTTTTGGATGAATGTAAAGTTCAGCTGTGTCCTTGCTGAATAAAGGTATTAATTTCTTAATAAATAAAATCTTACTGACCCAAAACTTTTGAACAGTAGTATAGATTAAATTGAAATGACCGTTAGATGACAGCAAAGGTAGTCTAAATGTAAAAAAATGAGCATGCGCAATAATATTGACCAATAAGTTAAATAAAAAAAATCTCTGATATTAGCCCATGACCAATACTTTACTGATATATTGTGCTTCCCTTTTTGACAATTAAAAAAAAAATTAAGCATGTCAAAAGCAAGTATCCCAGTGCAATAACATCTAATAATTGAATCAATGCTGTGTGAGAATCTCGTTTTATCCCACGAAACATGATGTCAACACATTGTTGGGCCATATTTATAGAGTTACATTACAGTGATGACAGCCGACAGATTTCTTTCACAGAGCTGTGACTGACAGATGAAAAGAAAAACAACTCACCGGCTCACCCCCTTCCTCCAATTGACTGTCTCTGAGGTCACTCGAGGTCACATGTAATCAGCAGACCAAGGGAGCCATCAGGTACATAAACAAGCCAGTGTCAGCCGTTCAAAAACAGCCCGCTGCCACTTAAATTCAAACGATCGCTTCCTGTGTCATAAACAGACTGTTTTGAAAGTAAACATTCCTGTCCAACAAAAATCTAACAGCGCCGGGCCTGAAGACTGCTTAAAGGAATCAAAGTTCACCACGCGACACCAAAGACTCCATCATCAGGTAGTAAAACGCACAAAATGCTCCTGTCAGCTGATCCTTCTCTTCAAACTTTAAAACCTTTTCAAATCCAAAGAAAATACACAAGCACTTTAACGGAACGATAGCTGGCAGGGGAAGAACAACAGCGTTAGAAGTGTTTGGATCTCATTGTAAATGGCTTGATTAGCTAGATTTTGTCATTTCCTTGCTTTGCCCTGTATACCTTAGAAAAGGCCGAAGTGGAGTGGAAAACGGGTGGAGAGGAAAAGAGCCACAGGAATTTTTGCAAAGCTTTCTGCTGTTTCTCACGAAGCCCCCAGGAGTCCTGATGAAGAGTTATTTTACAGTTTAAAGGTAAATGTTCACACAGAGAGGAGGAAAGAGTAACAACTGTCTATGGGAGCCTACAAACACACTTTGAGAAGTTTAGCTTTGGAAAAGCACATCTGCGCTCGTGTCTCTAACTCTCACTACTCTTGGGATTCTGAATGATTTCACCTGCCTTCTATTGCGTAATGGTGTAAATTAAATGGGCCAATTGTGGGATCTACGTTTTTCATCTAGTTTTTATTCTAAAACACTTCCTCCCAAGGCTGTAAGTACATAATGTAATGGGATTTAATATCTGATATGTTGAACTGTTGGCAGCAACAGAACAAACCAGAGAATAAGAGCAGACTGTATGTTCAATAATGAGCACAGTTGTGGTAAAAACAGTCAAATTACTGCAGTGTTCTCTGGCAGGCCATAAAGACGTTCGAGGACACTCTAACCCTGAAACGCAATGCTGTTACACTGCTTGGACATCTTTATTGCAAAGGAATATTACATGTTTAGATATATTTAGACAATATAAAAGGGTAAAATCAACTAGGCTCCAAATTCATTGCTTACATACATGGCTAGAGTTATGCCAAAATGAACAAATAACCCCGACATGTTTTAAACTGAAAACAGTGAGGAATGATTTTAGAGTACGGTAGCAAGGAAGCCAAATTTCACCCGGTTCCAAATAATCAAAATAACCAAATCCCAATTTGTGGCCTCAGTGCATATTTATGAGTTCCAAGGAAAATGAAATCCTAAAAACTTCCCAGATGTCCACAAGATTGTAGTATATGGATTCCACAGAGGTCATCAAATCCCTGTGGTCAGCAACGGTCTCGAGAAAGCAATCTATAGTAAGCCACGGGATGACCACACTCATGCTGCCACAGTGAGTGTGAACAGAGAAAGTTTCCATTTTGTGCTTTCCAAAACTGAATTTTCCCACATGCCAAGAACATGACAGCCTTATGCAAATCATTGGTTTAGGAAAGCTCTGTACCTTGAAGAAATTCTCCTTTGCTTCTTTTTCTCGATGGATAAGAGTAAAACACATATAAGAGGACAGAAAACAACAGTTATGTCAATAGTACGGGGTCGGTTTTGTCGGGACATCGGGATTGTTCTCTGACATGAGTCTCTGACAGCCCTGCTGTCCGCTTCAGTTGACGGTGGGTACATGGTTCAGGCTGTATTCTTTGGCCTTCAGTCTCAGGTTGGCGATACTGTTGGCCATATTCATGCCCTGGGCTGTGTTGTTGGTAGCGCATGATGGAGAATAAGTTGCCATGGCACTGTAAGGAAAGGGTTAAGTTGTCAGGATGAGATTTCATATTTTCCTTAATAATAAACCATTCAATTAAATGCATGCCCTGTCTCTTATTCATTTTATTTATGTTTGTGATGAAAATGCAGTACTAATCTGGGGGTTTTACGACTTCATGCATATGGACAGCATTTGTGGCACCAAATTTCTGAATTCAAGAAAATAATATTTTTTAAATAATTTTGACTCCCTCAGTTTGAAAATAAATTTTTTTTTTACAGTAACAAAAATACCAAAAATGTATGATGGTATTTTCCCTAAAAATGCTTTTTACCCAAGCTGTAAGGTTGTCTAAATCATCCAAACTACTTTTGAAATTTATAGTTATGTATCACTGATGTCATTTCTGCCGGTGGAGTTTGCACAATTTAGGTCCATGTAAATAGTATTGTATGGATAGTTAGATTTATATCTACACTTTTATCCAAAGCAACTTGCATTGCAAATATTTGGGTAGCACTTTGCAATAAGGTCCCATTGTGCATTAACGTAACAATATGCAATACATTTGTTACAGTATTTATTCATTTTTGTTAACGTTAGTTAACATTAATGTTCATTAGTTAGTGCATGCCAATTAAATACTATTAACAGATACAACTTTTGATTTTATTAATTGATGAAATTAACTAACATTATGCATTATAAGTATTTTTCGTTGCTTGTTCTTGTTAACTAATGTTAATAAATGGAACTTTATTGTAAAGTGTTTTTGTATAGATTATTATATAGATTTGATTTAAATCATGCATTCCCTGGAAACTGAACCCTTGACCTCAAGTCAAAGTAACATTTTTAACTCAGACTAACACGTTTAATATTCAAATCTCATAGTTCTACTTTTGAAATGGTGCAATAGTTGAATATTTGAAACATTAATTCGTAAGTAAATTACTTTTATTTACATTTTTAGTTAAATGAGGGATGACAACACTATATTCGTGCCACACACGCTATCCATTGTCAATAACTTGTAAATAACCCAAAATACTCTTATCAATATACTAACTTCTGCACAATGATGTCCACACCAAGAGAAACCGCAGCATTGGGAATGGTAATGCATGCAGAGGCATACAAAATTAGAAAACAAATCTAACCTGTACGATGGTGAGCTGCCCCAGGACAGGTAGTCATTGGGTCTGGGAGCGGGTCGTGGGACAATGGGCTGCTCTATGGCTGTTACTTCTCCTGAGAAAGACTTGAGCAACGAGGCGTTTTTACTGGCCAGCATTGCACGTTCATTTCGCCGAAACTTAGCCCGCCGATTTTGAAACCACACCTAGAAAATCATGAAAGGTGCTCAGTTTGGCATATATAGTGTGTAGAACAGCCTTACCATCAGAATGGAGCATTATGAGAAGGTATGCACCACTGCTCCATAGACCATTTCAGGATAAAACGATAAAAGAGCTAACCTGCACTCGAGCTTCAGTGAGGTTGACCCGGCGTGCTAAGTCCTCCCTGACAAACGCGTCGGGGTAGTGCGTCCTCTCAAACACTCTCTCTAAGGCCTGCAGTTGACTGCTGTTGAACGTGGTCCTATTCCGCCTCTGTTTACGCTTTTTTTTCTCCTCTGAGTTGAGTTGCTCATCTAGGGGGACAAACACAAGCACACACACACACATATAAGGATGACATGAATATCCCCATTATAGTAGGTCTGTACTCATTAAACAGGCTTACAGCCTGGAAAAAGGATATTACAATCATATGGTTACGGTTGAGTCAAACTAGTGAAATAGTGTTTGTTATGGAAATTCAATAAAAAGATCCAAACATTTTAAGAAAGAGATGGATGTATGTAACTGTTTAATGGACACTCGGCTCAAAGAGATGCAGAGAGTTAATACAGATTTTCTAGTTCTAGTGATTATACTTCAGTCATGAACCTTCCTAAAGCAGGATCCTAATCAAAGCTTAAAGCAGGACAACTGATCCATATTCATAAAAATCAGCTAATTTTCTCCAGTTTTAGGTGAATAACCCGGCCTGCCATAATATTCAGTTTGAGGTCAATATAACCCCTGACCCTGTCCCAAATTGGGTGTGTGGGTATTTGATATACTGATATTTTACAACTTTTCCTCATGATCATGTAAGATCTTTTTAGAATTTTTAACTTGATGATTCTGATGCTTTGTATAAGCACTGCGAAACATTTTTGACATAATGTAAGTTCAAGGAAAATGTTATCAAATAAAGTTATTGATACATCTTGTAATAGTCTAATACTTTAATGTCAGCCAGTCTTAGCATAATATTATCTAAATTATATCACGCCAAACGAAACGGAATACAGAACACACAGTAAAACGATGAAATACTATGCAGTCATTAGGTTTAAATGGTAGCTAACACATCAGCCAAAATGCACTGTAAAATAATACAACATTTATCAGTTTTCAACTTAAATCTGTCTTTTGCTTTCTTTCTAAAATTATTCTGGCTTCTTCTATAGTAAAATGCCAATTATAATGTCTGGGCCTGTTTTGGTCGGGGAAAAGCAGATCGTTGCAGACACACTCCTCTTTGGATATAGGCTACATCAATCAGTTCTTAAATCGCTCCATAAAACTTCCCAGAGAGGGAGAAAATACCCCAGCGACGAACTGATTCGCCCCAATTCCTCCCAGGCCGTAAAGTCAAAACAAAGTAGAAAGAAGAGGTTATCAGTGCCGGGCCCAGAGCATGAACAGCTCTACATGTCAAAGCTGTGTGCTTAGTGACAACAAAAATCATCTCAACTTTATCATCTTTTATTAACTAGGTGCTCGAGATTTATCTTCACTTCAGTTATTCAGAAGTCTGTTTTCTTAAAATAATAGGCTAGCCTACATCTGAAGTCACATCTGAAATGTTGAGTTAATTGTTCACAAAATAAAAATAAAAAATGTTTTCATTGGCCTACAAGCCCACACGAGCCTTAAATCGTGTTGCTAGACCTAATTAGATTTTTACCCGAAGTATGGAAAACACGCGCCAACCTATCAACGTTTATTTAGTTACTTATTAAAATACATTTTGTTTTAATCTTAGTGACTAGGTTAATTTAAAAAATATGCATGTGCAAAAAAATGAAGCCTATATATCATGTAGACAAATAGGTCTAGTTTTCGCAAAACAAGACTGTAATGGTGGCATTAGTAAGAGGCTTGTGTTTACAATCATTTTCGTAATGTTTCAAATGGAAAATTTCGGATATGATGCCTAACAATACACAAAGTTCATTCTAATAAATGATAGGCTACATTCAGTCTTGAAAATATGGTCTAATTTTATATCTGTTTAATTTACGATTTGAAATGGGCAAATAATCATTTTAGTGACTCATCAAATAATTAATTCAATGCAACTTTGGACTACGTCTTTAAATCTTTAAATAACCCTAGAATATTAAAACTATCTATAGGGCCTATATCTTATTATGAATTTTGCAGATTTAGATCACTCGTTTTGTTGGCTTCACTGAGAAGAAAATAATAAATAGCTAAATAGAAAATGGGCCTACTATCAAAATTATAGTCCACATGCATGACAGTATGCAGACTTACAGTCTGAAAGGTTTGCAAAATTATTACTTTTTAAAAGTTTATTTTGATTTATTCTAACAAACTTTTAGCTATAATGAAAACTATAGCTATAGCCTAGCCTAATATTATTATGAGGCTACGTGTTGTTTAATCAAATGGAGTTACAGTTCGGCATGACTAAGCAACAGTTTTACACACTATAATTAATTAACTGCTAATTAAACGCCTATGGAGTAAATGATGCAGAACGCAATCGTGTCATCTTATAAGCGCCTATATGTGTGCATGATCCGCAGCCTTCAGGCTACACTTTACTGAAGTCTGTCATTGCCACACATCTGCTAACGTGACAGTTTTCTGCACTGTAAGGTGCTTAACACATTCGTGTGTTTGTGTTCATATGTAGGCCTGCCAAATAAAGATCATTAGAATCTAGGCTACAATTTAATTGCATTCACAAAAAACACAAAAAAATGCAAAAAACCCGAAACAGAAGTCATTTTCATGGAGTAGCCTAACTAATTTACTTTTTTCCCCTGTACGACTTTTGAAGTTGAAATCGTTTCTTACTAAATTAGGAAAAATAATTGTCATCCTGATACTTAAATGCTACGAATGTTTTGCGCCACTAAAAGAGTCTATGGGACATGAGGATCATGTTTTGCAGATGGACTTACTCTCCTGCTGTGTCGTGTCGCTGCCGCTGGTCAGCCCCGGAGACTCCAGCATACTCCTGCCCGCCTCTCCTGCGCTCTCCTCCGCTTGAGCTCCCACCATCTCCCGCACCTCCTCCAGATCCAACAGGTGGCTCACTGAAAAGTTCTTCTTCGCCTGTAAATGATCCTGATTTGCGGTGATCGGACTCTCCAGTCGGTTAGGTAGCGTGGCTTGTCTGTCCATTACATAAGCATAGCTGGAAGTCATGACGCAAACTGACGAAACCCAATATATCCTCTACCTAAAACCAGCATGGGTTAAGTCTTGATCATAAACAATCACTCTGTGCTCGACAAATAGATCGATTTTGATCTCTTCATCCGTAGTTCAGACAGTGTCATGTGGATCCAAACAAGCGTAATTACCGTTCTTTTACTGGACTTTATGGAAAAAAGGCATCACCGAAACACATCTCCAATTCAAGAACTCCAAAGTCTCCAAAGTCTTCGCCTTTTACCCGATGACTCCCTCTTAGTTTCTGTAACAGAGACGTTCCCCACTCGTTCCGAGAGTGCGGGAATGAGTAAACTGGCGAGAAAGGTTTGATGGCACAGATGAACGACTTACGCCCAATAGTAGGAGGTCAGAGGAGCTTCTCTCCGCTTCTTTCTCCGGTACTTCAGACGGCACACACTGGCGCTGAGGGGGGAGCCTGAGAGCAAAATACACCCGCATTTGAAGCCCTGGGGAGGGATGACAGACATACAAGAAGCCCTAATTACGTGCAATGTTTTTTTGTCCGCGTTTCTAGCGTTTAACGAAGTCATATCTCTTTCTCCACCCCCAGCATCCCACTGAAATACTCAATAGCCTAATTAATGGGTCAACGTGACGTGATGGTAGTTTTTTTTTGTCGGAAATACATAAAAAATGCAATTAATAACCTACAGAAACACACTTGAATACAACTGTTACATTAACAAATTTGTAGCAATTTCCTCATTTAAATGATTTGGGCTTTAAATTAAAAAATATATGTCTAATGAAAAGTTGGCATAGGCCTATTTGCCATTATTATTATTATTATTATTATTATTTATATAAGTCAGTTGTTGCATTTTTGTAGTCACACTCAACCAATGGCATAATAACCAACATTTAGGAAGCCATTTTGTTGTCATGTGACAAGAAAACAAAGACCTCATGATTTTTTAATAATAATAATAACAATACAATTATAATATATTATGTATTATATATATATATATATATACTATTATTAAAATATGTAGGCCTATTTTCTTTGTCGACTTTGTTTTAAATTAGATTTATAAAACATTTAAAAACATCTTTACTGATCAGTAGCCTATTGGTCATTGACTAAATGCTGTCTAACTGAACAGACTATGTCTCTTTTTGTAATGATCTCAATTACTTTTTTCTTTACCTGCTGAATAAAATAGTCATCCTAAATGATATACTGTGATCTCAGACAAGTTTGAATAAAGGGACAACGATCTTGTGAAGCTTAGCCTAAAATCATATTAACACGAACACTCAAAACGATCAAAGTTACACACTGGCAAAGCTATAGGATAATATAGGCCTATCGTGCGTTCTGTAGGCTATTGGTGTCAGTCCATGATGTGACACTAAAATGTTGTCCTCTTTGAATCGGTTTACAGATGATGTGGAAGCATTGCGTGCGCTCTTAAAGAGTCTCTGGACAGGAGGAGACCGAGCTCTGCATGTGTCGCAATGACATGAGTTCAGGCTCCAAGCTGCCTCCGTCAGCCTCCTAGGTCTGGGAAAAGAACACTTGATGCCATCAAAGGGGCGCAGATTGAATCCAGATGTGCAGTGCCTCTCTCGTTCTTTCCGTGCATTTAATTAAGGAGCTTGGATTGAGGAGATCTTTCTTCATCATTAGTTTTCCCCCAATATACCATTTCTCCCTCGAAGACCAGTGCCTTGTGCCAGCGCGCAGCTTTGCTTGTATTATTATTATTTTACTCTGCCACATATCGAAACCTTGAATCTTTGGGAAGAATGAAAGTTCTTGCCTCTTTAAGGAGCGCAAAACTAGGCCCGTATATAGCAGGATGATTTTTTATCAGCCTCCGTAATTTTCTTTATGAGCACGGTTTAAGAGCAGGCTAATCTGAATATGAGAAAAAATACATTTATGCTCTAAAACAAAATTACTGTAATAAAAAGTCAACGTCTATAGCAACCTCTGTATTCTCCCTGCAAAGTAGCCTAGGCAATAAAACTGTAAAATGAACTGGATAAAGTAAAATATTTTACTTTATCCGATATTAAAGCATTACATGTTTGCATTGGAAAAAAAGGACAACGGTCATTTAGTCATAAATGCACTGTATTAAAATGTGGTTGGTTTTATTTTGAGGACATCAGTTCCCTTGCTTTTATTATTGGGAAGGTGTAAGAAAGGTCATGCGGGAATGATCGCACTGACAGCAAAAAAAAAAGATTTGATAAACTGAGACGATCGGGGCACAAAGTTACGCGGGGTTAGTTGTAACACACCTGGTTTGAATATTAGCCTACAGTATTTATTAGTTACCATATCAACATTATATAGAAGAAAGTGTGCGCCAAAATTAAAAAATCTTGAACCTACGCTCTTTTTCATTAAACGGAAAACAAGGCAAAATACATATATTTGTATTTTGTCTTTATGTTTTAGTACACTCTAAAAAAAATGCTGGGTTGTTTCAACCCAACTTTGGGTCAAATATGGACTAACCCAACTTTTGGGTTAAAAATGTAATATCAAAATTTAACCCAACGGTTGGGTTAGTCCATATTTGACCCAAAGTTGGGTTGAAACAACCCAGCATTTTTTAGAGTTTAAGTCGTCAACTGCATTATAACCCAGAATAAATAATAATAATAATATTAAAACAGATTTACAGCTGAATTAAATGAAAATTGCATAGGCTATTAGAAACAACCACCATTAACATAATTAACGATAGGCCTATATTTTTATAATACGATAAACACAAAGATAATTAAAAAAGAATGATATATAGAAGGTGATAGGCCTATAGCATAGTGCAGTTTGGTTTGTTGACAATAACAGACGTTGTAAAGTAAATAGCCTAATGGAACTAAATTATTATTGCCTCAAGAATTTATGAATAAAAACATTTCGCAACATGCGTTCCAGAATTACATCCAATACGAAATTTGCTTCGAATAAATAGATAATTAAGGATAAAGTTAGCAATTAAGGAATAACCTTACTTTAACATTTTTTTGATATCCTTGTTTATTTAATCACTCGTAATGCATAAGTATGCAAGTAGGCTAAATTAACTGTATAGTAAAAATAAAATAAAATAAAATAAAGTAGACAGCAAGTTTCATGTAAGCAACTATGTTGTGTTGCAGCTTTGCACGGATCGTTTCTCACATGGATCATATCACATGTCCATCTAGGATTATGGGGATCAATTTGCGGATCATTGGGATAATTATTATAATCAGACTCGAGGATCCTCTTGTAACTGGGGCTCGAGCCGAACCCTTCATAATAATACTGCCTCAGTGAACCTCAGTGTGCATTACAAACCTATGTGCACACCTTACACATATTTGTTTTCAGCATCGGGAGATTTTCTCATAACATATCACGTTACTCATAACATATGTTTGTCTAACGAGCACAGCAAGGAAAGAAACAAGGGCCTGAGAACGAACAGTTTTGTCATATAGCTAAACAGAATAGATTAAATTATCAGAATGTGCCTCACATTGAAGAAAAAGCAAACTTTAGTAAAGCCTGCACGTGACTATAAAATCACTTAATTTGGAGTTCAAAGTTTTATAGTCTCCCTTAACAAATATGTTTTTTTAGACATAGTCCTACTGTTAAAATGAAATGCTAAACATTTTATAAACCGCAATTAAATTTCATAAATGACTTGCATTTTAAATTCTGCAGCTGTCCTGACTTTAATTCTTAACCTAATATACAAGATATAGATGTCTAACCTTCCCTTACACCGCGCGAAAAAACATGTCCAGTAGTTATTAATAATTTATTCTAATCCAATTATTTTAACCCATTTCGTTTACATACTGTGTCAAAAGCTACAATCTATAACTAATGCGTGGCCAGCGGCGTTAGTGCTCTGTATTTATCTCACAGTCTTTTTACGTCTCATGTTACACACTTTTCCAAGTTGTCTGGAGAGGAACCCCACTAAATTAAAAGCAGATCCATAGGAATGCTGCTCTGTGAAGATGAACTACTGCTAAAACAGGCATGTAGTCTGATGTACACGTCTAAAACTCGCCTTCTTTATGAGGATGATATCTGAAATGATTCTGCTTAATCCTCCTTTAAAACGTATATTTATACAGGGAAACAAGTAAAGCACCTGCCTTGAAATCTTTTTGTTTTTGACTGAAAAAACTAATATATGAGGATATGAATAGAGTATATTTCATGTATAATCTTCTGACTAATTTATTCACTATATTGCATTTGCAAACAGCATTTGCAATCTATCTTTCTTAGGGAAATTAGAAAAAAAACTAGACTAAATCAAATAAAAAATGTAAATAAAAAAATGAATGAAATAAAAAATAGTTAATTTAATTTGTTAATGTTAAAAGATAATAAATATTAAAAAGCAATAAAAAAAAAAAGAAGCTGAACACTGATGATAGAGGACTGTGTCTAAAATGTTCCTACTACTGGCCAGTAACCACTCTAAAAAAATGATAGAATGAGATCAGTCTTACTATGCAGAGCGATCGGGCCAACATCCCTGACTGAAACACATACAACAATGGCCATTTCCTTCAAATTATCCCCTCGGTTGTCTTAGTTCATAATATATTGATCGTCTTGGCCTGGACAGCAGCATTTAAGCACCACCTCTTCACATTCCAGAAACCTCAAGGGACTTAAAGCTGTTTGGAAATTAGGCTCATTCTTATATTAACCCTTTGACCCTGCCGGCTGATGGGCTGAGGCTGTGAAGAGGAAGGCCAGAGTGGCTAATTGATGGCCATCGCTGAGGGGAGAGAGCATGAAAAGATAAACAAAATTAAGAGCAGTGATGAATATCACCTCTGAAGGAGCGAGAGGCCAGGAGAAGTAGTCATTTATTAATGGGAAGTGTTAGGCCATTAGCCCGGTTATTGAGTGATGGGCCAATGGCAGGCTCCTATTGCCGGTCCTCATGGAGAACTGCGATCATAGGCAGCGATGGCAGTATAGTGTTGGTCTGCTTCAGCTTTTCCCAAATGCAAATGTAAGTTGCCTGTGCAGATTGCAACGCTAATCCAATTTTCCCTCATTTGTCTATTAAATTCTGATTTTATCAGCAGGCCTGGTTCTGAAACCAGAGCCAGCTTTCCTCTTTTGGCATTTGGATGGTTGTGGTTTCAGGAGGAAACCATGTAACACAAGCAGAGATGTGAGACAGTTGATGTGGATGTGTGTATTTGGGAAAGAGAACGCTTGAGTTGGAACTTTAAAACAGTCCGTTGACACCCAAGGTCCAGCTTCACAGCGCTGCCTGTTAATATCTAATAAAGTTTCCTGAAAACGAAACGGCCATTAGTCACAATATGAGGAATTTCTCTGTGCTAGACTGTGCTGGCACAAAAAGGGGCTCTGATAGAAAACACATGGACTGCAAAAGATGGAGGGAGCCCATCAATGAAAATATGATAATTGTGTTTCTAAGACTGAATACATTACTAGTAT